ATTTAAATTGTATGCCTATTTGACTTTTTGATTTTTTTTTTTTATATTTGATTTGTCCTCTCGGATGCTGCAGCGTGTTGACTCTCTGCGTACGTAAAGTCATTTTATGCGCGCGGTGCTGTGTCCAAGTCTCGTCCGCGGCTCGGGCTGATTCAATATTTTCTTTTACAATACAGGAGGCAGGTGTGGTTTGGAGAGCTGCTCAAAACAAACAGAACCCAACCTTGCAGCTGAATGACAGAATTTCCATCACACACACACAAACTTTTTACAACTCTCGCGCACAGAAAACACCGCGATCATAAAATGACATTTTATGCGCGCAGAACATTATAAAGAGGTCCAGCAGCTCATATGAGAGAAGAAGAAAGACGAGGAGGCTCATTATAAACCTTGGGAATAAATAAAACATCCAGCGCACGCTGCGAGATGAATATAATTTTGCACCGTTTGAAAATGGCTTGGGTAAATTTTATGTAGTTTTGCTCTCACGCAAATTAATGAAAAAATTCTAAACCTGCACCTGAGCAATTGATACTGGAAAATAAGACGCGCTGCATTAAATTTCTGTGTGTACAAAATCCATCTGTTAATTTATTCAAAAAATTATTATGAAGAAAAGGTGGGTTTTTACATTTTCTCTTTAAATATTTGAGGTGCCTCACACCGCTCACAAAACGTGTTAAAAGTCGGCTATATTTCAAATACAATAGATTTTTTTGAAAGGGCCGCGAGTTGAAAAAAAGGTATAATTTTGGTTTTTGTTACGAACTTCTTCATTCATTTCAAAAACGAAGGAAAAGATTCCTTTAAAAAAATAACATTTGGAAATTTTTGAAAAATAATAAGCTTCACGAGTTTTAATTAAAACGAGAGGCGTTAACAAAACCTTGTCAAACTTTTTCTAAAGCAGATTGTTTCAAAAAATCCTCACAAATCTTCAGTATTGGTTTTTTGTCCTGCGCAGAATCTTGAAAAATTTATATCCATCTCGAGTGTTTTGGCGTTCAATTCTAAAATCTAATCATTATTTTTATATGCATGGTAAAGTAAGCACCATAAACTGCAAGAAATGATAATGATGCTTCAAAGTTTAAAACTATAATATTAATTTTATTTTATAGCCAAAATTAGATTTTTTTTATAAGGCGTTTGCATCTTTATTCTCTTATTCTTTCCAAGATTGCCAGAAAAGTGAATTAAAAATTAAATAAAATGGCAAGTTTATAAAGAAATTTAATTACCGCGTTATAATTATAATAAGTTTAAGAAAACAAAATTATAGCATAATTAATGGAAATGAAGAATATATTGGGCTTTCCTCTTTGCAGAAATGGTTTTTTTTATTCAATTTGAAATTTTTTCTTATTATTTTGCTCACAGACCGTGCATGAAACTGGTAGAGCATTTGTTTTTAATAAAAAAACCATTTTTGCAACGAGAAAAACCCCGATCTTTTCATTTCCATGATCAAAGTGTCAAATTCTTCAAAGTGTTCTTTACAATAAATAAATATTTTGATACATCACAAGCAGCTTTTATATTTAACATTTTTTATATCTAATTTCAATTTTTATTAGATTTTTCTAAATGTCATTGAGTAAATTTAGAGAAACCACAATTTATTTGCTTCAAATGCTGAAGTTCATCTTTTGAAATTGTTATTTTAAGGGCCATTCGCATTTCCGCGGTCAATTGACGAGTTTTTCACACTCTTTTCCGGTCAACAGACCTTTTGAAGAGGCCGGGGTCGTGCTTCTCTGCGGCTCGCGGGGGGTTGATTTCGCCGCTGCCGAGGGCACCCCCATTGATATATATTTGTGCTGCGCGCGGATGGAACTGGCAATATCCGCTCGCTCGCCCCGTGCATGCGTTGATGTAATGACAAAATAGGGGCAGAGCACTCGTTCAATTTCATTATCCACCGCATCAAAAGAGCCATTTTGAGCGGCTATTTGGAATGAAAAGCATAACCACTTCCTCTTATGTGCAGTGCACGCATGGGAGCAGAATTATTCTTTTTCTTGGTGCCGCGGGGGTCGATTGCTCTGCGCTTCCTTCAATTCAGCTTTTTATTGCCATAAAAGCGATAAAGCTAATCACATTTTCTCAATTGCTTTTTATTCAAACAAATTTTCGCATTTTCTAGAACCAATTTTAATTTAAAAAATCCTTTAAATTTCAAGGAGTGGAGCGTTTCCTCTCCTGAAATTTACAGCCAATTATTCAATTCGGCGTAAAATTTTATGATCTCCACGAAAATCCCTCTCTTGTATGTGCGAGACAAACGTTGATCCTCGACTCGTTTATTGAAAAAAGCCATGTATCTCTCCCACTTGGGGCACATAATAAAGATTCCGTACTGCGCAGAGACGAAAAACGAGGTGTCCCATAAATCGGACGGAATAAAAGAAAGGAAAACACACCAGAAAATGCGTGTATTCTTTATCGCGATGTAGGACAGCATTTTTAACAACTTCGTCAAGCAATAATTCTTGGTTTTGTAACCCGAGCCGCGGTCTTATCTCTCTCCGAGGAGGAAGAAGAAGGACCACCAAACTCTCTCTCTCTCTCGTGACTGTTTTATTGTTTGATCTCTGACTGACCCCCTCCGCATTAAGACGCATAAATAAAACTCCCGCGCGAGATGTTAAAAAAAAAAGAGTTGTGCCTGTGCGGGGTGAGTCCCTCCGTCATTTAACAAACACCGAAAGCTGCAGAAAAAGAAAACGAACCAAGATGAGACGGAGAGCAGCGCATATGACGTCACCAATAATTGAATAGGCCAGCACATCAGGAAATCGTTACTTAAGACGAATTCATTTCCATTCATTCCTTTGACATTTCTTAACTAGGTGGACATGTACGGATGACGAGATAAGCTTGGACTCGCTGCCCAGAGGCGCATGACACGATAAACTGAAATTATGTGAATAAAAATATAAAAAAATTAAATAAATCAACAACAATGAAAAAGATTGTTGTATTTGGTATTATTAAATATAAAAAATAGCTTTAATTAACATTATTTTTAATCCTTTTTTTAAGATTATGAAAAATCTTGAATATATAAATTTATTTAAAATTATTAAAATTTATAGTTTAGTTTTATTTCATTTTAACCTATTAACAGGTCAATAATAATTTACAAATTTATGTTTTTATTATACATTAAAATTTTTAAATTTTAATGATTTTCACAGATATTACTTATGTTATTAACTCAGATGTTAATATCAATTTCCATTGCAGATATGGACTTCATCTGGTTAGTTTTTGTATCATATTATTTGCAAATAATTATTGAAATCTGTTGCATAGCAAATCAGAGCCATATGTGCTCGGAAAGTGTCACTCGATACGTCCATCGAACGCACTTTATGAAACCTTTTCCTTTTTTAATACTCGTTCGCGAGTTGGGTTTATGATCTGATAACCCGGCAATAATAACGCATATATAAAATAATCGCTGCGTGTACCGAGGGCTATGCGCGCTTTTATTATAATCGAGACACCATCTCCGTCGCCTTTGTCACCACCCCATTCATTGCGTTATCGAGCACTCCATCTTAAATACGCTTAGGCATATAAATCTCTGTGAATCAACCCACATTACTTCTGCAGCGATAATAACACTCGGAGCAGAGAGAGAGGCGCAGCTGTGCATTTCGCCGCCGCCGAAAAGAGCATCTGCATTAGTTTTTTTTTTTATATAGATGCGCAGTATTTGTTGTTTGACAAAAAGGCGCATAAAAAATAGGCTTTGAGCTTTTGTACTTTGCCGAAAATAATTATTATCATTTTCATAAAATTCGATTTGTCTATCCAATATTTGAATTGCGGAGTGGAAATAAGTAGTATTATTTTGTGCAGTTTGTCGTGTCTCTCGAAGGAGGAAATTGTCTTTTCTCCGCTCTCTCGCGTGTTTGTTATTGTTACCTAAAATAGCGCCGTAAACACATCAAAAGAGAGACACACACACATACGCATGCTGCCTCCTCAACGGTTCGTGCGGGGCTCTCCTGCAGACACTGATGGGGCGTATAAAGCGCCGGAGACGGGCGCACTTTCAATATTTTATTTTTGTTTTGAGACGGGGACCATTTAGTCTGTCAAAGGGTGAAGGATGGAGGACTTGTTGCCACTTCAAAAGGTCTCGATTTCTTTAAGGAGGCCATTCTTGTAATAGATAGTTTTTTTTTAATAAGCCTGATTTAAATTATAATCTTGTTTTAAATTATTCAGTCAAGTTGCATGACTAATTAAAAAGACGATTGTTTCTTTCCTAACATGATATGAATTATTAACAATTTATTTATCATTCTTCTTGGTATCAGGTTTAAAAACTGTATTTTTTTTGTGGATTTCAATTTAATTCATTTCATGACTTATAAATTTATCTGAATTTATCAATAAAATTATAGATGAGACTGGTTTTTCATTTTTCTGGCAATTTGTCAATGAATGTAATGATTTTCCAATCAAATGGCATATAAATGTGATGATTCTAATGCAATTTTAATCAATTTTAAACAAAAATCCTTTATGAATGAGAAATTTTCAATGCAGCACCAAAAACTAGATTTTTTTTGTTGATTTGAAAACCCGAAACGGCCAAAACACATTTTACTCCAATTGGAGAATTAATACTTTAAAAAATTTTAAATTGACAGTTGAAAATTGATCAACAGATTCACCAGCAAAGAAATAATAGCGTAGAATCTATCCCTCGTCTTTAATTGAAAATTCATCTAATTGAATCGGATCGAATCCAACCAATTGGATTTTTTTTTTAAATCTTGGTGCTCGATTGGCTTCGTCTTTTCAATATAAGATTAAAAAAATATTCTATTTCACTTAGAAAAAATACTTTGTAAATTTCAAAATTTTTCTCGTGTGCGAAGCGGACTGCCTACGCAGCCAGGGGCAGGTAATTTGAACGCCCGCCGGTGACGAAACGAACCCCCAAAAAGGGAAATGAAACTGAGAGGGTGTCTGACCTGTCCTTCTGCTCGGCGGCCCTGTCGCGCTGGCGCCTGTTCTTGAACCAGTTGCTGACCTGGGTGGTGGTGAGGCCGGTGGCCTCGGCGAGCTCGCGCTTCTCGCGCGGCGAAGGGTACGGGTTGTGCGCGTACCAGTCGCGCAGCACCGACCTGGACTTCTCCTTGAAGCAGTAGCTGGTCTCCTCGCCGTCCCAGATGGTGCGGGGCAGCGGGAACTTGCGTCGCACCCTGTACTTGCCGACGGCGCCCAGCGGCCGCCCGCGCAGCTTCTCGGCCTCGATGTAGTGCGCCTTGAGCCACAGGGCCTGCAGCTTGGGGTGGTTGTGCGGCGAGAACGTGTGGCTCTCGAGCAGCTTGTACAGCTCCTTGAAGTTGCCCCTGTGGAAGGCGACGATCGCCTTGGCCTTGAGCACGCTCTCGTTCTTGTGCAGCTTTTCGCACGCCGGCAGCGACCACAGGAAGCGTCCGAGCCGCTCGATGTTCCCGGACTGCTGCAGCACCTCGCACACGCACGCCACCTGCTCCTGCGTGAACCCGAACGAGGGCAACATTGGGCTCGGCGAGTGCGGCCCCATCAGGCCCGTGGGGTCCGTCATCACGATCATCCGTGTCTCGAGAGAGAGAGATTCTCAGCGGCCCGTGTGCGCACGCCGGGGCCGCTCCGACTCGTCTGCAGCACTCGAGGCACCGCGACCGCGCCGGCCGCGACCCACCGCTCTTGCCGCTCGCGGGGGGCCGGACGTTGCCATGGCGACCGCGTCCGCGCTCGAAACCCGAGAGCCGTCGAGGCGGGGCCTCGGCGCGAGAGGCGGCGCCGACCCGGCTCCAGCGACGCCTCGACGACGCCTCCGGTGCTCAAGGTGCGCGCGATCTGGTCCTGCACCCACCGCAGGGTTGCTGCTCCTTCAGACCATTTTGCAATTTTTCCAATCATCTTCCAATCTGCATCTTCATACTTGTCTTTTTTTAATACAGGTTTTATTTGCAATAAATGAAATCTATAGACGATTTCCAAAGAAATTATCAGAAACTCTTAATTATTAGTAAGCAAATTAGTTAAATTATTCAGTCTTTGCTAAATCAATTCAATTATCTGCATGTTTAAATTTACTCGTTTATGCATGGTTTTATAATTTATAATAATAAGTTTTATTGGTTTCATGAAACGGATTACCATTAAAAATTATAACAATAGAATTTCAATTTTTATAAGAGCAAACGTCTTTAATTTTGACACCTTAAAACTTTTTCTAATTCTAGCTATTTGCCAATCTGATTATTGATTTTTCTAATACAACACTTGTTCCATAAATTTGAATCAATAAGTTATAGTTAATAAAATCTAACGTTCTTTTTTATGCTGGCTTTCCTAAAAACGTTTATTATTAATATTTCCATGTTTCCTGCTTTTCATTAAAACAAGAATACTACTAAAAGAGAAATAGAAGTGAAAAAAAGCAAAAATTGTTATTTTGCTTACTTTACTAATTGTTAATTGTCTTGTTACTTCCAGCATTTTATCATTATTACAAAAATAAAAGCTGTGTTTAAATGATCTATTTAAACAATTTATAAACACTAAAATGTTTATTTTACTTATAAAATTAAAACACAATAATTTATATAAAAAAATTTAATTTAAGATTTTTATTTATTTTATTTCATATTTGTTCAATTAAATGTAGATAAAGCTTTAGGTACAATAAAATTTTAAGCAATAATATATTTTTAAAAATTCAATATTTATTTAGTCCTTATGCTACATGATAATTTCAAACATTATAAAATTTGATTAAAAATCAGTTGGATCCAAAAGAGCATTTCCCAAATCTACATAGTATAATGGATAATCATCTTAATTAATATTTATTCTTAATTAGCAGAATAATAATACTCACCCAAAAATAACATGTGACAAAGGCTATTGCGTTTTGTCAAATTAAAACGTCCAAGTTTTTTCCCCAAAATTATCATAAACTACTTAGCGAGACGATCTCGCGTAATATTTAATAATTAAAATAAATCTCACGCATTTAGTCGAAATACGCAGATTTTCTTTACTATTTTCCTCTCGAGTTAATGTTTAGCGCTGATCAAATTAACTTTTGTAACAATTAATTAAACTTAATGGACCAAAAATGAAATTACATGAACTTTAATATGCAGGGATTGGAGAGAGAAAAATCATCATTGCTCGCGCCGGTTGGGGCAACAAAAAAGAGGTGAAAATGCGCACTTCTGCTTGACACTTGAGGTGGTTGGTGGCGCGAGAAGGATAGAATTCTGCCGCACTCGCCACAGCCTGCAAGTTTTTGCAGCCGCGCCGCGACACAGACACCGGAGCGAACCGCAGTGGCCCGGTGTGATTTTCAGCCCATGATCGGCTAGGAAAAAATCATCGCGGCGACGACGACGTCGATCTGCGGTGCGGACTCGGCGACGCCACCCACAACAGAGAGAGAGGTCATGACGAAACCTCGGCGACTCGGATGAAAAGTGGTTCACGCGCGCCGGGTCTTGAAAAAGAAGCGCGAAACGTGAGCCACTTGCAGGTGTGAAGGCGTTTTGTCTGCACAGACCGGCGCGGCGCAATAAATATATGGACCCGGCTCATTGCTCTTTGTGATATGTCACGGGATCCAACGCTTGAGGTTCCGAACCCAAGGAAAGAGAAAAAAACGCGCGCCTTTGGTAGTTTATTAAGGCTGTTCCGCGGTCGATCGACTCTCAACATTTGATATTTTGGTGTCATGTAACTCTGCGCCAGTGCGAGCACAATAATATTTTGTACATTTCCATTTTGTACCGAGAATAATCACTCTCGCCGGCAATGCGCGCAATGCGACTCCTTTGCTATAATAATTATCTCTTCGTTTTGACAGTCGGACCTGAAGTGTGGTAATAATTTAGAAATTCATGCACGTAGGGTGTGTCACCTCACAAGTGCATTTAATAAAGACAAAAAAATTTTGTAATTAAAAAAAATTAAAAATAATTTTTATTAACATTTTTATGATTTAAAAAATAAATTTTAGTTTTTAATCATATTTAATTATTTTAATATTTATAATTTATGATATTTTTACATTTTTTTATTCTATTTTCCTTTCCATGATATAAAACTTTGTAACTTTTTTTATTAAATGCTAATTTAAAAATAAATAAAAAAAGTAAACCCTCTCATGCTCTTTGTAGTAATTATAAAAATTGTATCCAGCCTCTGGCAAGTTATTCTCATCATTAGTTCTAATTATAATTTGAAGTTATATAATTGTTTAAAATGCAGAAATTACAACAAAAACATTTTTTTTTTCGTGGTAGAATTTCACGATTGAGGGTTGATTCATGGTGATTTGAATTTAAAATCGGCTTTTCCTCGATGGGTTTATGTTTTTTAAAAAAGTATTTTGAATTAAATGTCAAATAATTTTGTGTTAAAAATTATTTTGTGAAGAAATGTTAATTTAAATGATTTTTCACGGAAAATTGTCAATTTGAAAGAAAAATAATTTTTAAAAAAAGATTTATTTTTGAACTAATTTTTGTCAAAATGTTTTCGCAGCTCATGAATTATGGCTGCAGCCGAAACATGTAGAGCAGGATATTGTTTTTCTGAAACAATAAACAACTCACAAAAACCCATCGAGGAAAAGCCGATTTTAAATTCAAATCACCATGAACAAAAACATTTTTGTTAATGCAGATATCATTGCAATACGCGCGTTTTACCATTGAAAAATGGAAAAAACCTGTTCATAAAAATAAAAATAGATACCTTTGCAATTTCATGAATCACTCTATAATAATGCAAATTGTGTTATTTGTGCGATTTTAAAATCAAAATGATTAAATTGTTTTTATATTCTGACCCTCTTCTCTATAATCCCAAATCTTTTCTCTCCCCATAAAATATGGTATTAAATATGCGCAGCAGTTTTTGAGCTTGCAAAAATGAAAACAGACACGCGATTATATATACCCTTCGATATTTTTTTTCAAGTACAACACGGGGTATATATTATGTATTACATGCAGTTTGGGAGAAGCAATTGACCTTCTCAGCGGATGGTCCGGGCATAGCTCACCTTTGACACGCCATCCATCATTGTCAAATATTTGAACAGAGCGCCACACGATCGTAATATTGGTTCTTGAAAAGACGATCCGTGCCCAAAACCATCAATTTGTCTCTCTCCTCTCATAATTTTCGCCTTCGATAGAGTGTTAATTTATTTTCAGATCGATCGCACGATCTCTCTCTCAAGGGGTGCGATTTTTCATTTCGTCAAAGCCACAAATTGATTATCCACTGCACTCTGTTTTTGCATTGTAATGGATATGATATGCATAGAGCACAATGCCGGGCAAGGTGAGAGAGATGGAGATTCCCTCGAAAAGTAATAGGACCCCCGTGAATGGCACAGCAGGCGTTAAATCTTGATACCGAAAGTATCCAGCCGACCCCGGCAGTGCATCGCGCAGGGGCTCGCGTCTCGTCCAAAGGCGTGAATATTTCTTTTTCATATTGTAATGGCCAACGCGCTTAAAATATCTCTTGAATCCATTTTACAAAATATAGCTTACGTTCTCATGCAACTGAAATTTATCCAAAAACTGAGAGATATTAATTGAATTAATTTATTATGTATCTTGTATCGTTGTTTCTTATATATTTAAAATGAGATGCAAACTAAAATAACATGATTAATAAATAATATACAAAAGATTGATTGGATAGAAGTACAAGCAAAATGAAAATAAAAAAATTAAAATTATCTCGAAGACAAATCTTTTGAGTTTGCAAATAATTCATTGGGAAGAGTAAAGAAATGAATTATAATTTAACTGACATTCTTTATGAGAGTTTTTTTTAATTGCCGAAACTTAACTTTGAATGGAACTTTTGTGTGATGCATTAAACAAAACAAAAAAATTTTTGTTGAATGTTTTTTATTCAATATTTTTATCTCGAATGTGAGCATTTTTTTACTAATTTATTATAATAAATAATCTTCCACAAGTACTTTTCTTGATTTTTTCAATGATTGATATACTAATTAAGAATCGAACACTCTTTCCCAATCCAAGATCCTGGATACCAAGAGGAAATCTGATTCATCAAAAGTCATGAATTTAAAATAATTAATGCATAATTAATATTTATAATTATAGTGAAAAATTTGGACTTTATTTTTGTGATTCAAAAAAGTAATAATAATTATTATTCAACATTGGTATAATTACAAATTTATAAAATTAATTAAAAAAAAATTAATAAATTGTTAAAAATATTAATAAGAATAAAATATTAACTTTAAAGACTTAATTAGTAATTTAAAAAGCTTATAACTATTTTGTTTTATTTTATTTTTAATTAATTTATATTTAAGCTAGATAAATGAAATAATCTTAATATATTTTTAAAAGCTATCTAAACAGCATCCAAATTATAATGACAAAACCAACGTGCATTGAGTTCCATAAATTATTTTTTTTATATTATGATATGATTTAAAACTAATTATAATTCTGCATATCATGTGAAAGTATATTTATTTGCAAAAAATTTAATTATAATTAAATTTAGAACGTTTCTTATTCCATAATTATCTTATGATAATGAAAATCCTATAAGTACCTCTTGAAGAATCACCTGCTTTTTAAATTAATATGTATAAATGGTAAATGTAAAAAAAA